TTGTTACAACTTAAACTTTTATGTTTTATACATGTAGTGTAAATAATGAAAAACAATTGTTATATTGTTTTAGCTGCTCAAATAATTCAAATAATTGGCAGCAGCCAACAGTTAGTAATTTTATACATTCAACTTGACAACAGTAGATATAGTCTAGACAAATGTTTTTTTTGTTTTTTTTTCTTAAAAAAAAGTTTTTTTTTAACTGTTATTTAGATAATAGATTTTAGATGCTTTTGAGAGGATAAGCCAAAATTTTTTTTATGCTATATTATTTTAGTATTTAGTCTTTTGCTCTCTGCGTTCAATTATAGATCTTTATTATGCTATGTTGTTTTGCTGATTATTGTGCATTCACAACATTTTTTACATTTGTTTATTTACATATTCTTGATTTTTTCTTGCTTTTTATTAAGTCGTTGTTATTTTTTTCAATAGACAATTTAGAACAAATAATGAGTAATGTTTTTATTAAGTCGTTGTTATTTTTTTCAATAGACAATTTAGAACAAATAATGAGTAATGTTTTTATTTTTATTCTGATTCACTTCCAACAACCAATTAGAAAACAATTAGAAAGAAAGAAGAGAGTTTAACCTTTTAGAAAAAAGTGAAAAGAGTTAACCACTAAAAAATGAAATAGAGTTATTGAGCAAGGAAACGGTTGACAGAAGACTTAAAAAGTTGAATCAGGAAAACATGGGAGAGAGTTCCAAAAAGTTGAAGTGAAAAAATAGACAAATAAAAGTTTTTAGAGCATGCAATGATAGATACAGCAAAAGAATGAGACTTTTCCAAATGACAAATCAAGCGAGAATAAGTTTTAGTTGATGGAACTAGAGATGATAACTTGTTTGGGCAGCGAACATGATAGTATTTATAGAAAAGTGAATGAGATGCAACTTTAAGACTATGGGAAATGGGCTCAAATATAGTAGATAGAGCGGAGCCAACTGCGTTTACAATACGTTTTTGGAACTTGTCTAGAAGAGAATGAGCATCATTAGAAGCAGCAACCCAATTATGACAACAGTATTCTATTTAGGGGTGAATAAGAGATTTTTATAGGTAGATAATGGAATCCGAAGAGAGAAAATATTTTAGGAATTGATTGTATATATGGTTTCCAAGAAAGGTCAGTAGTAAACCATAATGCAAGAACACGTAAAGAAGAGGACTCATAGGACTGAGAGGGTTGCTATTCATTAATATGCACATAGGTATGCCGACAGTACTGCGATAGTTGTTTGCAGTAAATAGTTTTGTTGGAGTTGAAATAACAGACTAGAACTTACAAGCAACTGTAAGTCCTATTCTGTTACAGAAGTGAAATCAGATTCAAGATCGGCTACTTGTTTAAGCAATCGAAATTAAAATACTTTTTGTCAAGACAAGAGAATAAAGTTAAGTCATGAACAAAAAGAGCTTCTTTAGATGTAAGGTTATTGGGGAGATCATTAATGTAGGTAAGAAACAAAACAGGAACAAGGATAGAACCTTGAGGTACCCCAAAAGTTACTGGAAAAAAAAGAAGAGTGTTACATTTGATGAGGAATTTTATTAAGCTATTAGTAAAAAATGATTTGAATCTCAAAAACTTTCCTAGATACATCTATCTTTTGACATGTCTAAGGTTTTCGATAAAATTTTGGCATGCTGGTATATAATATGGCCGTAAACTTGTTTCATAAGCTTATGGAGGAGACCAAATTACAAACTTCGTTAAAAGCCTTTGATATGTTGAAAGATATCCAGACACATGTTTCTATTATTATTATTTGTTTTTAAGTTTATAGATTTTAGATATGTCAATATGTCGATATTTTAGAAGCCTTCGATATTTCGAAGGTTTTAGATATGTTAGAATTTTAGTTATTAATTTTTTTTTTTTTTTTGCCATGTTAAATGTTCTAATTTAAAATTGGCTTCTAGGTGAGTTCAAGCAGCAAATTAGTAAGTTTAGATACGCCACTCATATACTTTGGTGGTTTGATATGAATTTATAACAACTTTTTTGTGTATTTAAATTACTTATACCTTGAAAAAGACTTTTTTCAAGGCATAAGAAACATTCAGAAGCATCCAGACGCATCCAGAAGCTTCCAAAAGCATCAAAAAGAAGCATCTAAAATCTTCCAAAACAGGTTCACATAGGTTCATTTTACTATATAAGAGACATGTAAACCGACATGTAAATCAGTCAGTATATAGAAGTCATTCAGTCAGTATTATCAAGACAGTTTATCAAAGTGTGTTTTGTTGAAGAACATCAACACAAGAAGTGAAATACAACAAGTGTTTCATTACATCAATACAGTCCACATCCAACCAAGACGTTGTGTTCCACAGAGCATTATTGTATCATCACAAGGTAAATGTAACACGGTAAGCCTTGAGAAGCGTGATTATTTATTTTTATGACTTTAAGTGCAAAAATGGCTTCCGACAGTCTTGGATTAGAACTAAGAAAGAAAAATATTGGCGATTACTTAAGCGGAATGTCACAAAAAAGTATTTGTGATAAATATCTCGTAAAAAAATAGACCGTATCAAGACAATGTTCCAAATATTGTTCTACGGGGAAGTTGGCAGCAGATAACAAAGGTGGAAGACCGCGTTCCACCACTTCTAGAGAGGATTCTATGATTGTCAGATCCGTCAAAAGATCCCTGGATATCATCAGTTGAGATATAAAAGCAATTAGAGTTACCTGTATCGGACCGAACAATCAGACGACGTGCTGTTGAGGCCGGATTGTTTTCTCGACGCCCTACAAAGAAACCGCTGATTTCACTAAAGAACCAGAAAAAAAGACTTCTGTTTGCTGCATCTCATATTGAATGGAATGTGGAGAAATGGCGAACTGTTCTGTTCAGTGATGAATTGAAGTTCAACATCCTTGGGAGCGATGGCATTTGCACGTACGTCGACGGCCGTATACTGCCATAAGACCGTGAAGCATGATGGAGGCAATGTAATGGTCTGGGGGTGTTTTTCTGCTAACGATTTAGGTCCAATACATCGAATCGATGGACTAATGGACCGTTTCATGAATAACAATATCCTGAAAGATGTTGTGTTACCTCATGCTGAATGGAATATGCAGATAAAATGGGTTTTTCAGCAAGACAACGATCCGAAACACACTGCAAAAGTAGTCAGGCAGTGGCTTCAAGACAACCACCTATCGGTGATGATTTGGCCGCCTCAATCTCCGGATCTCAACTCTATCGTAAACCTGTGGGAAATCGTCAACCGCAGAATTAATTGTGAAGGTGTTCGTAATAAGGATCAACTGTTTGAACAAATCCAAAAGGTCTGGGTAGCGACTCCACAAAGTTTCATTGATCACCTGATCAAATCTATGCCTCGAAGATGCAAGGCTTCGCCAAAGAATTCGCCACAAAATATTGATAGCAAAACACAGCTTGGCCAACATTTTGTGGAGTTGCACTTGTTTTGTCCAGAAGAAAATCAACTTTTTTTAAATACTTTTGATTAATTTATTCATTTTCGTGTACAAATAATGAATTTTGTGATGAATAAAACTTGAAGAGCGTTGTCTCTAAATAGTTACATAGTTATTTCTATAAATTAAAAAAATGCAGCACTTTTGTATAAAGAATTAAAACTAGCATTATTTGGTTGCACTTGTTTTGTCCGATACTGTATATTTGAATTTCGATAAGAATAGACAAAGTTATGACAATTTAAGTGAAGAAAAACATAATTTTGACCACATTTTTTTTTAACAATTCCATATATTGTAAAATTGGTACTTGAACCGTCATAACTTTTGAACCAATAGTTCTTTTTTTTTAATTTTTTACCTTTAAAATATTGTATTGATCCTCTTTCCAATGATATAAAACGGTAGAATATTTAAACAATTTGAAATTTTTACTTACGCACCTAGACACTCAACTCGTCATTTTATCTTGTCGACATTAAATTCAAAAAAAAAAAATTTTTTTAAAATGCTGTAGCATCATTTTTACCAACAAAAAACCTTGTACAAATTTTTTTTAAATGCTAATTTTTTTTTTTTTTATTTGTCATTAAAAAAAAAGAATACAATGCCGTGTTATATAAATTATATAAATAAAATCTACATGAGCGGGGCTAAAAGAAGACAATATTTGCCTAATCACTACACCCCGACGTGCTTTCATCAGCAAGCGTGTATAACCATAAAATGTAAACATAAAACATAAAATTACTTTGTACCATTTAAAAATTATATACAAATATATACAAATATGTTAAGATCAGTTACTAATCTATAATCAAAAGAAAATCGTAAAAAAAAAAAAAAAAAAAAAAAAAAGCAATCACACTTAAAAACTGAAGATAAGTTAATAGGATAATTAAAGAAAATTTAAATTGGTTAGACTAGTTAATAAGATAGTTGTTAAAAAAGAAGATAAAAGAATCTTAAAAAGAATTTAATTCATTAACATCGTTAAGAAGTTTTTGCTTGAGTTTTTGTTTAAATAGAGAAAGTGAATAACAATTTTTCAGCTGGTTATTTAATAAAGTGTTCCATAATTTAGGACCTCTGATGGCAATAGAAAATTTAGTAGCCAAATAATGTATTTTAGATTGCTTACATTAGGGCTGCACCATGCATTATTTAACAACCCGACGGGCATTTGTTTTTAAAAGTTACGTTCTAAATGTGTTTTAAATGTCTTTTAAACGTCTTTTAAACATTAATGTTTAAAAGACGTTTAAAAGACATTTAAAATACATTTAGATTGTAACTTTTAAAAAGAAAAGCCCGTCGGGAATGTATAACGGAGAAATATAAGATTTTTAAGCAGTTTTGGTTTAAGATTTGCTTAGATTTGTATAGTATGCCAATATTTTTCGAAGTTTTTTTTTCAATTGTTCTTATGTGTTCTCTCCATGTCATGTTTTTGTCAAGTATCACTCCTAAAATCTAATTAGTAAAATATCATGACGTCAACCAAACGGAACGCTTTTGCAATAAATGACGAGATAGGATCGGTAAATTTGTTATACGCTACCGGGCTCGTATTCCGCCATATTTAAATTTTTAAAATTGTTGCTCCTTATCTGTGCTTGTTTCCAACAAGTGCCCTTTTAAATGTCGGGATCATTGAGAAGTTCTTTTTTGGAGCTGTATGGAATCGCTAGAATTACATCACAAAAAGGAAAGAGTTGGTATGCTTTTTATAATTCACAATATAAGAAAACTAAAAAAAGATTTTTGAATAATCGCCTAAACCAAAACGCTCAGTTGTTGTATGCACAAGTCGCTGCGTCTGTGTCTACAATTAATTAATGTATGCTATTTTTTCTACGTCTTTAGCTAAATCAGTTAGTGTATGTACACAATATATATACTGCGTCTAACTTTATATAATTCAGTCGGCATAACATCAATATAAATTTTAGATAGTAAAATAAATAAAAGTCTAAACAGTTTAGAAAACCAGGAAAAAATAAAATTATGAAACATGTTAAACAAAAACAAAACAATTCGTGTTAATTAATAAAGTTGTGTTTTTATGGTTTTTCAATTTATCTAATTTTTTTTAATTTATGAAATAGTATTCCATTTAAGTAACTTTAAATTGTCCATATAAGTAAACACAGCTCTTTTCTAACATCCCTCGTATATTTATGTGAGGAAGTACATATAAATATGTATTTTTTGTCTTTCCATTTTTGAGTTCTTTTTATTATTAGTTTATATATATATATATATATATATATATATATATATATATATATATATATATATATATATATATATATATATATATATATATATATAATTTTTATATTAATTAAATATTAAAATATATAAATAGTAATAAGATATATATCATTGAAAAGAGCTTCAATTTAATATTTTAAAAATAAAAAAATTAATAAAATTGAACAATTCTATAAAAAGTTATGATATTTTAGGTACAGATTTGTTGATAAGTGGATTTGTTGAGGAAACTGTGGACAAAATAAGGTTTAAATAGTAATAAAATGACTTGAAAATAAATTCAAAAATACAAAAATATTTTTGAATAATATATAATTAAATTGTCTCAGTTTTTATTTTAAAATTTAAATAATAAGTTCTAATTATGAACTAAATAATAATCATTGTTAACAATAAATATGTCTTGAACATAATCTAGAAGACAAAAGAGACAACCTATTTATTAAATTTTTCAATGCCTTGTTTTAAAATTTTCGTTACCGTTATTTAGTTCTTTACTTTTCGCAGGTGTTAAAATAGTATATTTAGAAGACAAGCCTTCCCAGGAAAGGTATGCGGTTTTTCATCTCGAACGACCACGAAAACGTTTTTCAAGTTAGAGAACGTGATCATGGTCAGTTGCTCAAGTTATATGCGTTGCTGAAAAATTATATGCGTTGCTAAAAAATTGTTTTAAATTTAATAACTACATAAGAAATTAAAGTAAACTTAAATAGAAAACAATAATAATAGTTTAAATAATTTGTGTGTTGTTTTTATTTTTGTTTTTTCTTAGTGGTTATTATTATCGGCGACAAAATTTAGTAAGTCAAAGCAAAAAAAAAAAAAAAAAAAGGTTTTAGGTGTTAAAAAAGATGACTTTCCCATATATTATGTATTTTTTTTAAAGAGGAAAGAGAAAATATGTATCGTCATTTGTTTTTAAAATATATTTGTATAATTATAATGTAACAAGTTTATATCTAGAGTTAATGTAATAATGTTATAATGTAACAAGTTTATTTTTGTTCAAACAACATTAATAATTCCAAACATTTATTTAAGTAGAAAAGCATCTTGAAAAAATAAAGCGGATATTCAAATATTATTAAAAATTTCAGGAACTTTCACAGATCACTTAAACGGCGTTATAAAAAAGTACTTTATAAAAAGTATAGCATTATGAAAAACGTTATGTAAAAATGCGTGTTAATTTTAAAATCAACCAATAAAAATTTTTATTTGTTAATTTTAAAATTAACGCGCGTTTTGTAATGCAGTTAGTGACTAGAGTGTTGTTACTTTTGTAATCGTAAGTTTATTGTTTAATTTTTTATTTTTTCACTAACAAATTTAAGTTGATTCTCCCCTTAAAAACAAGGAATACGGTTTTGTATAAACTAAAATTTTGAATACTAGATATTTTTCCAGATTTTGCGTTTTGCATTCGCTTAATTCAACCCTTGTTGTTACATTAAAATTGTACATATAAATTTTACAAACACATTGCAATTTGTATTTATGCTATCCTCTTAAAATAAAAGTAAGAAAAGAAAAATCATTTTTTTTTATTGTAGACTTCAGACTATTTTTTTTTTTACTTTGCCTTATCTAATTTTGTTGCTGAATGTAACTCTAAAGAAACAAAAATAAAAACAGTACACAAATTAATTAATTTATTAATTTGTTTTTATTTTTTTCTATTTCAATCTCTCTTTATTTTGTTAGTTTTGTTTTTTTTGTTTTTGAAACTTTTTCAGCATTATTATAAAACTTTCAAGCGGCCGTGTTTAAGTTGTCTAAAATAATATACTGGCGTGTGGTCTTACAATACGAAAAACGGCATGCCTTGCTTGGCAAGGCTTGGAAAGTCCTACAACTCTGGAACATGAAGCATTGTAAATAGTACAACTAGAGGTAGGTTGCAATGAAAGTGTCATTTTAGACAACAGTTTAAAAGGTTTATTGCAAAAAAAACAAAAACTAATGCAACACATTTTTCATTATTTCTTTTAAAAATTTTTAACCATTTTTTGCCATTAAGGAATGCTCATAAATTTGATTGGAGTAAGTATTTAAGTTGAAATACTCATTCACTTGTGCAATTGTTTACTAATTAATGCTCCATTGTGGAGCATTAATTAGTGAGTGCAAAGAGTTATATTTGCTTCTGCATCATATTTAAGAAAACTTACCTCATGTTTCACTTTTAAAGCTTGCACAATTTCTTCATCCAGAAAAGTGTATTGCTCTTGGTGCAACAAGTGCAATATCTAATTTAACATTAAAAGTTGCTTTAGTATTGGAAAAACGACTTAGTCTGGTTTTTCATCTAAATGAGATTTCTTCAACCAAAGAATCTCTGTGTGATAAAATAAGAGATCAATGGTTATCTTATCAGAATGAGGTCATCCCAGAACACTTTTACATAAATTCAGAACTTTCTACTACATCTGTAGCTCATTAGCAAACATCATATTGGTCTTATGCGTTTAGAACTTGTTATTTGAATAATACAATTTCGCTAAACTTGTTTCTCCGCGCAGCGGGTTTGTTCCTCAAGGTTCGTGTTTAGGAGTTATAGAGTTGAGGCAACTTGTGGTTATAACCACAAGTAGCCTCCTTATCTGTAGTGGCCTTTTTGGCCTTAGGAAGGTGCATTATAAATAAAGATATTTAAGTGCAAACCATTTAATTATAAACAAATAGATAATTGTTGGAGTCAGGTGGGAACTATATGTGATGAAGCTGGCAAATTAAAACTCTCTCAGCTGCTTGCACTTGTTAAGTGTGTTTTATCTCTTAGTCATGGCAACCGTACAGCCAAAAGAGGATTTTCTGTAAATAAGAACTTTATAGATTGTTTACCAACTTAAAAGAAGACACTATTGTTGCATTGAGATTTTATCTTTTTTTTTTAGTAATTTTACAATATTTTATGATAAATAGTTTGAGTTATTGCAACAATTTTTTCAGTTCGAGATGAACTTAATCAAGTAGGTGGAGTTATAAATTTTCCAATAACAATTAATCTCATTAAAGATATAAAGTTGATTTGGCTGAGCAAACTAGATTAGAAAAAGCAAGCTGAATCAGAAAAGGTAAACCAATCAGAGATGCTGGCAAAATCTTTTCAACAGGAAAAAACAGATCTAGAACTTATTGAAACAGATATAAGTATATTGCTCCCCATTTTTTAATTAAATTTGTATATTTTCTTTATTTTACTGTTTGAACTTTGTCATTAAATAAAACATAACTAATAGGAATTTTTTTTAATAAAATAGTTTATTTAAATTACATCATTGATATGCAAAAGCTGGCATCGAGGTTGCAGAAACTGCTATTGATGAAGGTAATGGAAAACTGCAACAAGCACTACTCAAAGTAAAGTTAGATACAGCTGTATCAGGCTTGGTCGAGAAGCGGGTGCGATCGCACTCGAAAACTGACCACAGAAATAGTATTTTGTTGCAAAAAACCGGCCAGGTTTTTTAGTCATTTTGTTTTTCTGCAAAATGATAATTAAGTTCATTATTTTACATGCATGGAAACATTCATAAACTCGTTTGTTCTCAAACATCTTTGTGTAGAAAAATAAAAAAAGAATATTCGCGAACACAAAAAACCCGCCAAATCTACGAACAACTAATACTATTGGTTCAAAAAATACTAACCAAATGTTTTTGAGTATTCTGTTATTTATTTAAATATTTTTAAAAATTGTATTATTTGAGTTTTTTTATGTTTTCGTTGAGATTTCTAGCATAAATTGTTTTAAGAATATCAAACAAACTATTATTTTGATTCTCGGAGCCACATCTTCAAAGCTTTAAATGTTTTAAACTAACATTATTTGTTTACAAAAATAAATGTTTCAAATTTATATTTTTTAACTTGTCAATGTTTTGTAAATATATTATAGATTTTATTAGTATATTCTTGTTTTTTATATAAGGGATGTATTTTTTAATGTTTGTAATCTATTTTTATGTATGTAATGTATTTTTATGTATGTGTATTTTATTCAAATGTAATCTTTGAAAGCAATATGTGCAATCTATTTTATAAACAAAAATACTTTTAATTATAGCTGCGTTTTAAATGAAATTATTAATAATCATCAAAGTTAATTCAAATAATTTTAACCACTAATCCATTTTCCTCAGTGTACCCGTTAACTGATACTTTCCCCCAAGAAAGAAAAGTTTTTAAGTTCTTAGAAATTGGTTTACTAACTTCAATTATTTTTACTTCAGCCACTCTACAAAGTCGTTATACTTAAAGTTAAAGTTACTTTTTCTTGTTATAAATACTAATTAAAATTATAAAGCCTATTCACTAAACATCATCAGCGGTATTGTAAAGCAGTTCTGCTTCCTCAATGAACTCAATGATTTAATTATTTCATTTGTTCATCTTACTAAGAAGAATTATTTCAAATGTGTTTAACTTAATCTTG